GGTGCTGAATGCTATACACACACACACACACACACACACACACACACACACACACACACACAAAGACATGCACACACTCACACACACACACACAGGCATTTTTCATGGAGCCGAAACTTTGCCCTGAGAGTAACGACTGTTCACTCACCGACTTGGCAGATAAAGCGGGCCGCATTAATGCACGTGTTGGTCATCCAGAGGAAGTCTTTACCGTAGGCCTCATGACTCCTGATCTGGGCGCACTGCGGCATGATACGGGTGACGGCATGCGGAAAGTGCGGCTCTCCTTCAGCGAAGGCAGCGTACTGACAGCCGCTCCAGACCGGCGTGCCGTCACTCCACATCGGCAAGGAGTTGTTTCCCTCTTCTATACCTGTGGGGAAAAAGATATCGTGAATAATTAGCACACTGTTGTATTTAGGACCTTGCTTTGCCAAGAACTATGCTCAAGCACCATCCTCTATACCTGGGGAAGAAAAGGCATCGTGAATAATTTTATAATCATGGGGAGTGCATTCGTCCAGAATCATGCTCAGCACGGTTCTGGATACTCCACGCGTATCCAGAACCGTGCTTTATCCAGAATCATGCTCAGGTACGGTTCTGGATAGTCCACGCGTATCCAGAACCGTACTTTATCCAGAGCCATGCACAGGCACAGTTCTGGATATTCCACGAGTGCCCAGAACCTGGTGTGGCAAAATGTTCTCTCCCTGCAGACAAACTCCCCCGGCATGTTATCTCTCTATTTGCCCGATTTCTACTCTTTCCAGCCGCCTCCCGAAGCCTGGTAGAGGCTGTACTGAGCACACAAAAAGACACACAAAATGTTATAAAACGTTATTGTTTTCCATGTGCTTCCTCACCTATCCAGTATCCCCTCTGATACCCTGAGTACTGCAGGATCCCCACGATGTAGGCGTCCACTGCCGCCGTCCTGGGCATGGCGAGGGTCCCGTTCCGCTCCGCACAGTACAGCCGGGCGGCGGCGTACCCTAGCTCCATAGGGGAGAACTCGTAACACGCGTGGTTAAAGGCGATGCTCTGGTCCGGACACTGACACACGCAAACACCTGGGGGAAAGAACAAAAACTATAAAGACTCTTCTTCTTACATACATGCACAATCGTTAGATAGCTCTAAACAATGTTTAGTGTTAGATGTTCAAGGGATAGATGTAACAAGTCTCTCGTCGGGACACTGCGACACGCAAACACCTGGCATGGGGGGGAGGAACAAACCGGTACAGATTCAGCTTCTTAATCTCCAAGCAGATCTTTCGGTGGCCGCAAAAGACAGTATCCACTTGTATCAAAGCATTGGTATCCATTGGCCACCTGTGGCTTTTGGGCACTCCTCTAGCCAATGGATACTGCCTTGCCACCGTATGATCTGCTTGGATCATACGGTACTCCTGGATTCGTGAAATATTTCTTTAGGTTGGTAAGAGACTGTATAAGAAGGTTCTTCCGCCTTGAAGAAGGTGACAGACGGTCACCGGAACGCCTACTAAGATGTTAAAACTCACAGGTTCCGGAATAGAGAACCTTCTTATACACAATACTGGATTTGTAGTTACTCGTTTCTAGTAAGTCTAACAGATGTTCGTAAATATTCTAGCTATAAAGCTTGAATGCACTTAATTTGTACGAGCAATGGTCGCGTAATTTCAGACGTATTAATGTTAAGCGTACCTATATTCAGGATAACAGCCAAGGTCACTTTGGAAAAGGCCAGAAAAGAGGACGCCATCTTCGCGTCTAATCGCAAGTTCTGTCCCAAATCGCAAAAATCAGCTCTCAGACTGATAACTGGCTTAGTGGACCAGAGAGGGGACAGGTGAGACCTCATTAGTACTTCTATAACTAGATTGACCCCTGTCACATATTCAGGACATCCCCATGACCACTCCCTATCGTATTCACACCTGTGCATATCTAGTTCTATGCCTGAATGTATTAGGGTTATATATAGGATCCGGCACAGTTCTGGATAGTCTCTGCGTATCCAAGAACATAGATTTGCCTCCACACGTGTATATCCATAACTGTATCTCTGAGCATGGTTCTAGATAGCCAATTGCAAGGCCAGTACTTTCTTCTTCCTCTTCTTTTTCTCCAAATAAAGTCCATGATCTGAACCAGACGTCTGTTGCCATGGTAACTTGTGCTGGGTTAAATCATGTTGCTATTTCATAGCAGGAGGGATTTACACTCCTGTCACCATATATATGAATGTGTTTGAGTAACAGAGCAGACCTATGCGAAGGTAAACATTATGCCTTTTCTTTGCAAATGTTACCTTTCTAGTAATATAAAGATTATTTGTTATTTAGGTTGTGTTTATGTTTGTGTTTGTAGGTCACCGACCTCCAGGCGTCCCCATGATCTACAATAACCCTTCCCAGTAATACAAGACAACAATCAGTCATGTGATATCTTGTGACTAAACTCAATTTCTTGAAGAACTTTGATTAAAATGTTGACCCAAATTTTGTAAAAAGAAAGACACGGGCTTAACTAATTATGTTTAAACTCTGTAATCGAGTTATTATTTCAAGGCCACACATGTGTTCTGAAGACTGCGTCGTGTTGCTGAGTCATTTATTAGACTTGGGAATTGGGAGCAGCGCTTTTGGCAAAGATGGCGCCCTATTTTCTGGCCTTTTCCAAAGTGGCGTTGGCTATCATGCTGAATATAGGTATGCTTTATCATAAATATTGATACGTCTCAAATGATTCGACCATTGCCAGTATTAAGCTTTATAGACTTTATAAACGTATAAGTAACGACTAACCACAAATCCAGTATCGTAGTATTGTATTGTATAAGAAGGTTCTTTATCGATATATCTAGTGTTTTTCACGTCCTATGTTTCGGTGACCGTCTGTTAACTTCTTCAAGGCAGGAAGAACCTTCTTGTACAGTCTCTTGCCAACCTGGAGAAATATATCACGAATCCAGGAGTATTGTATGTGTCTGACATGTGTCTGACAGTATAGCCGGTACAACCGCCCTTCAGCGTAACACACCAGCTTCGCAGGCACGCGGCGCGGCGGCAGCTGGCTACATTACGCCGATCGACTTGTTACACCTAACCCTTGAACATCTATCTCTAAACATTTTTAAAGCTAACTAACGATTGTGCATGCATGTAAGACGAAGAGTCTGTACCGGTTTGTTCCTGCCCCATGCCAGGTGTTTGCGTGTGTCAGTGTCCGGACCAGAGCATCGCCTTTAACCACGCGTGTTACGAGTTCTCCACGGCGGAGCTGGGGTACGCCGCCGCCCGGCTGTACTGTGCGGAGCGGAACGGGACCCTCGCCATGCCCAGGACGGCGGCAGTGGACGCCTACATCGTGGGGATCCTGCAGTACTCAGGGTATCAGAACGGCTACTGGATTGGTGAGCTTAATATCCTTGCTCGAAATCTTTTTACAGTGACAGTTTCTTTCCCCGTACAGCCAAGCTTTCGAATTCCCTCCTTGACAAGTGTTTCCCACCAACCTACAATCTACAGGCTTTCGAATCAAACGTTCACCGCCATCTCTTGACATAGCCATGTTTCTCTCATATTTCTAGTTCAATGCCGACAAGTGGTTGCATAGGCCTTGCATTGAACTACTCCGTTAAAATAAGCAGATAATAGGGTGGCAAAAGACAGAATCAAAGTGGCCAGGCAGTATCCATTCGCCAGAGAGCGTATGGACCTTTCCGGGTGGAAGAGAGGTTTTTTTAATCAATTCTAACATGTAATTACAAGACGTGGTGACGGCACACTCAAGTTTTTTCAACTTATATTAATGTCGCCACCAACACAGGGGACAATAAAATACTCATTTTCACCTGAGTGAAGTGAGGAAAGTCGTGTAAAGTGCCTTTCCCAAGGGCACAAGATCGGTGGCATGTCAGGACTCGAACCCGGGACCTCTTGGTTCCGAGTCGAGCACTCTGCCGCTACGCCACACGACCCAACCCCACCCCACGAAGTTAAGAGCGGTTGGTCTGTCACAGTCTGCTTGGCATCAAAATCGTACGTACGACGAAAGTGACTGAAGACTCCACCAACAGCATATGATGTAAGTGCTCGGGTCCTACTGCAACTCTCCAGTGTACGGTCCTCCAAATGTCATGTTTTTCCCCCCGACGACACGCCTGTCTTTGCCGGCTGCCAGTACTCCGCCTTCGCCGACGGAGAGCCCAACTTTCTCTCCAAATGTAATGTTTTTTCCCTCCAAACTTCATGTTTTTTCCTCCAAATGTCATGTTTTTCCCCCTCCACAGGAATAGAGCCATCAGGAGTAGACGGAGCTCCGATGTGGGCTGACGACACGCCGGTCTTTGCCAGCTGCCAGTACTCTGCCTTTGCCGAGGGAGAGCCCAACTTTCCCTGGCTCATTAGATATCATGTTTTTATCCTCTAAATTTCCTTTTTTTTTCTTCCACAGGCATAGAGCCATCAGGCGTAGACGGTGCGCCGATGTGGGCCGACGACACGCCTGTGTTTGGCGGTCTTTGCCAGTACTCAGCGTTTGCCGAAGGAGAACCCAACTTTCCCGGTCTGACCCTGTCCCGAATGCCGCAACAGTGCGCAATGATCGGCACCGCCGCCGAGTCAGGCTTTCTGTGGGCAACTTCTACCTGCGCTTATTCGAAGCGGTTCATCTGCCAATATGGTGAGTGAACAGTTGTATCTAGAACCGTGCTTTGCCTAGAATAAGAACCATGCTCAGGCGCGGTTCTGGATAGTCCACGCGTATCCAGAACCGCGCTTTATCTAGAGATAGCACTATGCTAAGGTACGGTTCTGGATAGTCCATGCGTATCCAGAACTGTGCTTTATCTGGAGATAGAACTATGCCAAGGCACGGTTCTGGATAGTCCCGAATGCCGGAGCAGTGTGCTATGATCGGCACCGCTGCCGAGTCAGGGCAACCGACACCTGCGCTTTCTCCAAGCGGTTCATCTGCCAATATGGTGAGTAGTTGTTTTTTCCAGAACCATACTCTATCCAGAACCGTGCTTTATCCAAAACCTTGATTTATCCAGAACCGTGCTTTATCCAAAACCTTGATATATCCAGAACCGTGCTTTATATACATGTAGAGATAGAACCTCAGACACGGTTCTGGATAGTCCATGCGTTTCCAGAACCGTGCTTTATCTAGAGATAGCACTGTGCTAAGGTACGGTTCTGGATAGTCCCGAATGCCGGAACAGTGTGCTATGATCGGCACCGCTTTCTGTGGGCAACCGACACCTGCGCTTTCTCCAAGCGGTTCATCTGCCAATATGGTGAATGAGCAGTCTCCACCAGACTCCTTTGCAGGCTGAAGAAATCGTAGAAATCGGTCTAAAATGAATGTCGCTGGCCAGGGGAGTTGTCCGGCCATAGAACTGGACCCTCTATGGCCGGCCAACTCCCCTGGCCAGCGACATTCTTTTTAGACCGATTTCTGCTATTCATTCAACCTGTAAAGGGGTCTGGTGGAGACTAGTGAGTGAGCAGTTGTATCCAAAACCTAGTTTTATCTAGAAATAGATCTAGAGCCATGCGCAGATACGGTCCTGGATAGTCCACGCGTATCCAGAACCGTGCCTGTGGCAAATCTACGTTCTTGGATACGCAGAGACTATCCAGAACCTTGCCTTTCATTGTTGTTCCATTGATTCATCATTTCCAAGTTTCAAATCTGTTCAAAATGTTTAATGGCATATCATTTTTCACCACAGGAGCTGGGGACCAAGAAGACTGTTCAGGTAAGACATATATGCACGAGTAACGCATTCGATGATCATAATTGTCGAGCATTTGGGCATTGCCTTTCCAAAAAGTTGCTTAAATGACCTTACCTTTGACTTTTCTTTCATCAAAGAACTTGTGGTTGGTAATTCGGTAAATTAGGAATTTGAATTATATACATACTTGCTCCAAAGGGAACTTTAAAACATCTCTATCTACCTTTTGTAGAGAAAAAATTACTTTTATGTAGATCAGTTTGTCAGACGCAGCCATGTTTCACATGATAATTACATTTCACCTATACTATAGTATGGGTGAAATATATTGTTTTCCCTCATGTTTCTCCCCCTTCTCCTCCTCCTGCCATTTCTTTAAAGGGATTCAACTCTGCCATTTTTCAGTCGAATGATCTGAAAATTTGGAATGGGGAGGAGGAATGGGTGAAATGTGCTGTATTTGCTCTTGAGCAAATGTCGGCCTTTCTAGTCTACTTTTAAGTCACCTCTAACCACGTGTGTTGTTTCAGGAGAGGGAGGGATGGACGACCCTTTTGCATTACTGGGTGAGTGGAAATCCGTTTATTTCGTCGTCCACTTTTTTAGACATCCTGTGGTGTATCGGGTTACATCATGTTGCAATTTTATAGTAGGAGGGATTTAGACCCCTGTCACCATATATATGAATGTGTTATGAGTAAGAATTAACAGAGTAGACCATATGCGAAGGTAAACATTCTATGTATTTGCTTTACAATCGTTACGTTTCTAGTTGCTATTGTTTGTTTGTTTGTTTGTTTGTTTAGGATCTCCATAAGAGTGTATTTCACACTACTCTTCCTGGAGTCCATAGTGAATAATAAGATATGTACCATCGCACACCTGGGCATGCCCCTACTCTTTTTCGAAAGGTGTAGTGGGTTCTTTAACGTGTGGGGTGTGGCTTTTTTTAGACATCCTGTAGTGTATGTGTTGGGTTACATCATGTTGCAATTTCATAGCAGGAGGGATTTAGACTCAGCATATATATATATATGAATGTGTTTGAGTAAGAATTAATAGAGCAGACCCTAAACATGTCCCTGGTCCCATGTCCCATGTCTGTCAACTCTCCCTAAACGTCCTATCCGAGGGACGTCCCTAAAGCTAGGTACTCATTTACACCTTTCCCAAGGGCACAAGGTGGGGTTCGAACTCGGGACCTCTTGGTTCTGAGCCGAAGACGCTACCGCTACGCCACACGGCCCCACCTTATCATTGTTGTTGTTTTGTTTTGTTTTGTTTTAGACCCTGGCCTTGTCAGACCAGACGGGCGCTGAGATAGTTGTTTGTTTATATTTGTTTGTTTGTTTGTTTTAGATATTAGCCTGGTCAGACCAGACGGGCGCTGTGATAGTTGTTTGTTTATTTTTGTTTGTTTGTTTGTTTGTTTTAGATATTAGCCTGGTCAGGCCAGACGGGCGCTGTGATAGTTGTTTGTTTATTTTTGTTTGTTTGTTTGTTTTAGATATTAGCCTTGTCAGACCAGACGGGCGCTGTGATAGTTGTTTGTTTATTTTTGTTTGTTTGTTTGTTTTAGATATTAGCCTGGTCAGGCCAGACGGGCGCTGTGATAGTTGTTTGTTTATTTTTGTTTGTTTGTTTGTTTGTTTTAGATATTGGCCTGGTCAGACCAGACGGGCGCTGCGGACCAGACTTCCCTGTGCTGCCAGGAGTTCCCGGAGTGTGTGACGTCATCGGCCCGGCGCCATGTTGTTCAGCTGACGGACGGTGTGGCGATTCCGAACTCCACTGCGACTGTCCGGATTGTGTCGACTACAGTCTTGTCTTAGGTGAACATGTGTTCATCAATTTTTATTATGTTTACCAAAGGAAACATATTGTTTTTGCTCAGTTTCTTCTTCTTCTTCTCCAAACAGTGACCTATGACCTGACGAATGACGTGATTTGTTGACGTCTGTCACCATGGTGACTGGCGTTTGGTTACATAATGCTGCAATTTCATGGTCTGTTTGAAGTAGCTAGTTCTGTATAAAGTTGCCCCGTGTGAATTTCCCGTGAAGTAGCTAGTTCTGTCTAAAGTTTCCCCGTGTGAATTTCCCCTGCCCAGTTCCCGACTGCCCTCCCGGGTACCACAAGTTAAAGGACACGTGCTACGGGGCGAGGCTGGAACTGGCCAACTACACACAGGCCGAGAGAGCATGCGCAGAGGACGGCGGAACACTGGCCATGCCCAAACACCTGAAGACCGACTTCTTTCTTATAGGACTCATGATCAGGTCTGTATGGTGCTACTTTGTCGTTTTTGTGTTTCTAAAAAAAACATGTATTTGATATTTATGATTATCTGTATCTGTATATTAGTATAGGCGGTATAACCGACCTTTGGCGTAACACATCAGCTTCGCAGCCACGAGGTGCGGCGGCAGCTAGCTATATCACACCGAACGACTTGTTATACTCAATCTTTGCACATTCAATTGCAGGAGTTGTTTAAGGTTTCTAGTGACGATGCCCCAACTGTGCTTGTTGGCAAGGAGTTCCAGTCTACGATAGTTTTGGGGAAACGAGTTTTTGAACACCTCAATTCTTGGTTGATAACTCTAATATTTGAGGGCATGACTGTTTTTTGTTATGTTTACCGAAGGAAAACATATTGTTTTTACTCAATTTCCTCTTTTTCTCCAAACAATAACCTCTGACCTGGTCTGCTCTACTCCTGTCACCATATACTAGTAGTACATGTATGTGAATATGTCTGAGTAAAAATTAACAGGGCAGACCATGTCCGAAGGTAAACATTATGCATTTGCTTTGCAAATGTTACTTCTCTAGTTCTTTTCTGGTCTGAATTATGTTATACAGCATCAATGTCCCTATAGCTCCACTACGTGCTGATCTTATGAAAGATACTACTAAATTGTTGAACTCAGGGCGGCTCCCGAAGGCGACTTTTGGATCGGGATAGACGATCGGCGCTGGGAGTACAACCACATGTTCGCTGACGGAACCAGGCTGGCTGAATGTGCCTTCACTAAGTAAGAATCCATATGAAAGGGTTAGGTTTAGGATCAGGCATTGTTCTGGATAGTCTTTGCGTATCCAAGAACGTAGATTTGATCCAAGGACGATGCATACGTATGAACTATCCAGAACCGTGCCTCAGTATGCATGACATGGTTCTGGATAAAACACTGTTCTGGATAAAGCACGGTTCTGGATAAAGCACTGTTTTGGATAAAGCACATTTCCCGATAAAGCACGGTTCTGGATAAAGCACGATTCTGGATAAAGCACGGTTCTGGATAAAGCGTGGTTCTGGATAAAGCACGGTTCTGGATAAATCATAACGGTTTTGGATAACTCATGACGGTTTTGGATACAACACCAATGTTCTGTTCCCTGTGTTCAGGTGGAGTGGTGTCGCTCCGAGGGACCGGGCTCACTTCCTGAACTGCGTCATGTACCTTCCCGACGTCGGCTACTTCTGGCACGACATGAGCTGCTGGGAAAGGATGTACTTTCTATGCCAGATGGGTGAGTGGGTTTTTCAGAATTCTAAGGCTTCTCGGGTAGCCTCTACCAGGCTTCGGGAGGCGGTTGGAAAGAGTAGATAGACATTGGCCAAATAGAGAGATAACAAGACAGTACAGTTTACCAACTCCCCGGCATGTTATCTCTCTATTTGGCCAATTTCTACTCTTTCCAGGCGCCTCCCAAAGCCTGGTAGACGTTACATCTCGGGAACCAACTATACTTTTTGTGAAGGTGGAAATATTGCACAACGCACTATTATTTTTTTTCTCTTCCTGCATTTGACAGCCGTTGACAGCGTGCTTCAAATATATTATTTTTTGCCCTTTCGTTGTTATCAGGTCCAGGGATTACCGACGACTGTGAGGCTGGTAAGTGCTTTATTGACAACGATCGTACAATTGTCGTACGATCGTCGTACAATTGTCTTACGATCGTC